CCCCAAAACCCCAAAACCCCAAAACCCCGGATATAAGAACAAAGATTGAACCAGAAATTTAACAGAAACTGAAGTGGGTTTGTTTAATTTATAAATTTGAATTTGCTTGAAAACAAAGTAACCTCACCTACAAAATGACCTGTTTCCTTCTTCACAAAGAACTGAGGTCGCGAACAAATATAGAATAAGACAGTTAAGAAAGGAGGCTTTGGGGATTGGGGATGTAATTTAGGGGTTTTGAGGTAGGCAGGAAAATTTTGAGAATAGTGAGTTTAGGATTTGTTAGGAGGAAAGGGGATTTAGGGGATGGCTTAAAGAGGAGTGGTAGTGTAGTCTTTTATATGAGTGTTTTATGATGCTTGTTCGTGTAGATTTTTATTAAGTGGATGTTTATACATATGATTAGAAATAATAAAAGGGCTTGGTTGATATTAAGATAAGGTAAGAAACAAAGCATTCTAGAATCAATTTCACACTTTACTTTACCCTATCTTCTCTCTTCCTGAATTCCTACATAATAGCCTCTAGATGGGCCAAGGTAAAGGCTCAATTATCCTTGATCTCGAGCTCAAACTCAACTTGACCAAATTGTCTAAAAGAGGCTGCAGAAACCAATGCTGCAAAATTTCGTTGAACTACTACTGGAACCTGTTCAAGTAAATCGAAAACAACTACTTGTTGGAGAGGGAAGTGCTCAAGTTCAAAGACTTGCAAGTCAATCTACTTGGAAACATGATCTGACAGACTGCGATGTACTTTGCTTCATACTATATAGCTACTCACTTGCTAATTGCTCAGAATCTGATTTCTCACATGAACAAGTATTTGTTCAGGCTGCGGCTGATAGCCGGGGCTACATCATGGCTGTGTGCAGAGTCCCCATTTGATGAAGCCAAACAAAGAGTTCCACAAAATCATACGATAGTTGAATGCTCATGGAAGTTATGTTAAAAATAGTGAGATTCTATTTTCTAAAGTTAAGGGAAGATATAAGCGCAAACTTGCATGAGCATGAATGCAATCTTAAAGAAATGAATGAATATAAAAACCAATTAGAAATTCCGGAGCTTTAAGGAGGTTTTGACACAGTAAGGATATAATCAACGGCCTCATAATAATCTCCCCAACTTTCAATTTTTTAGAAAATTTAGGGGTTTTGGGGTTTTGGGGTTTTGGGGTTTTGGGG